TCTTGAGCCACCCGGCCGATCATGTCCTCGAAATGCGAACGACAAACGCCATCTTCTCAAACCATTGAGCCGTGGACTCTACGCCGACCCGAGCCTTCACCTCATCGTCAGAGAAGCTGATGGGGGTGATCTCCCGGAAGGCCGCCTGCCCAGCAAAGGGCCGTTTTGTTGCTTCATTGCGAACAAAGTGTCGAAACATTGCTGGAAAGCACCGAAACCAGACCATGGACGTGACTAGGACTACGGTTCGGGTCTGGCCAGCTCTGGTAATCGGCTGAGTCCAGGTTTCGACCCTGAAAAACCCTGCAAACAACCCACGGTCACACTGGGTGACGATTTTGTCTCCGTTTTTGCTCTCATGACTCATGAGCACTGTCATTGTCATCGTCAGCACCCACCACCTTGTCCGTTGTCGGCATCCCGTCAATGCTCGCCCGTATCAATCTTGTAAGGTTGGGTGGTCCTGGTCTATGGCCCGAATTGCCTCACCACACGGGCTGGTAGGCTTTGCCGCAGAGCTTGAAGAAGTGAAGATTGTGCGGGGCGAGGTAGGCTTCAAGACTGTGGAGATTATGACCCAGTTCGCGTGCACTCCGGACATGGACAAGGATGCCAACGAGGTGTCGGAGAAGAGCGGCTTGAAGCGAGCATTGTGTTGTGACTGTGTGGGATTTACCCTGTAGTTTGCCTCTTCCAACCCCTAGAGGAATAGGCTCAGGGCAATGTAGTGAAGCAGTGACGTTTGACTCTCTGCTGCGTGGAGTCTTGCTCGTAGTTCGGCTCATCCGACTCCGTGAGGAATGTGCTTGAGCAAGTAGTTTTTAGTTGCGGAACCTTCTGGTCCCCAGTTTGGGCTGGGAAGCTCAGATTTGGCACCCGTGTAGCTTTTGTTAGTTCGGTGCAGGTGCTGAGTTTCTGAAAACTCGCTAAAAAATAAGCTTTTCTTGCATCGGGTTAAGGGTTCAGTTTGGAGACCACTGTTCAGACAGACCGACCGGTCGGTTCGCTAATGACTTGTCAAGCGTGGAGGTAGCAAGCTTCGCAGTTTGCCTTGTGTGCATAGGCTGAGTTACGTAGCAGGTTTCTGCTCCCGGAATGGGGCGCTCGTGCTGTAGGCATGGGGACCTCCTTGCACGCAAACTGCTCGAAAAGCCGTCTGCATGTGAATTCAAGACTTTGGTTGTGCTAGAGGTGCGTCGCACTCGATGCCCGGCCTCAAGCGTGTCGATCTCGATGGAATCCTTCTCCCCCGCGAAGTAGCGGAAGGCACACCTTCAGCAAACAGACCAGCAACCATGCAAATGCGCTCAGAACTGTCATCGCCATAGATACCTCGATACCATCGTCACGATCAGAAGGATCAGTATCAGCGCCAGCATCAGCAGCAGCAAGACAACCGGACCGACAGAGACCCTGATGATTACTACCAGCGCAACCATGACAACCACACGATGGCACTGCAGTACGAGCATCGGAATACAAGTAACATGGAGGCAAGACAGGATCGCTCTAAGAGAACTTAAAACGCAGACCCCTCCTCGGAAAACGGTTACGTAACTCCGACCGCCGGGCGGCTCGAGGTCTCCAACTGCGCGCATCCGATCCGAGCCGAGGCTGGCCTTGGGAATCCCAAAGCCGCCCCCCCCGGGGCCCCGCTGCCGCTGCTCTTCGCGGCTTGTCTGGGAAAAGATCCCCCGTCATCCCGCCGGGGCCTCGTAGGCACGCAAGAAGTTCTGGAAGGAAATCCTGGGACGACAGGGCAGGGGGGTGTACAGAGCAGAATCTGCGAATCGAGACTTGCAGACGAAGAGCTGCTTGTTTGGGAAGCAGTCGACCAGCAACTTCGGCACCTCTGAAAGTATCGGTGCGAGCTGCAAGGTCTGCAGATGCTGGACGGTCCGAGCACCGAGCATCCACGCTGAAGTTACAGCGAAGGTCCAAACCTTGCAACATGCATGAGTACAGAAACCTGGGACACGATACCAGAAAAGAGACCCGCTTTCCGCAAGTGTGGCCAGTCCCATCAAGGCCGCTGCAAGCTTCTTCCAAGTCCCGGCGATGGATGCACTCTTGCCGGTCGCGGTCGAAGAACCTAGTCTGCAAGAAATGGCAGCTGCTTTGCAAAAGGAGACTCACAGTCTCAGAAGTCATTTCCTGATCCTGCTCGCAGTGTTGGCATCCGTCGCAGTGCACAGGCACACGTTGCATGCTCTCAGCTGTTTGGATCATGCTGGATTGCTGGGCACTGGGAACCTGATTCTTGGGATCCCGCTCGAAGGCATCACGGAGCTCCTCGTCCGTGAGCGGATGGACCTGCGCGCCGTCGGTGCTTTGGGGCTGCTGAGGCTCCAACATGTACATTCCGGCCTTCTCCCGGCCCGCCACACACTCCAACCAGGCCCTGAGAATGCTGGGTGCTGGGTGGAAGGGAAGAAACGAAAAGAGCTCAAAGGAAAGAGATGAGGAGACGTTATGCCGCCTGGCGCAGTCACGGTGCTTCTCGTAGCTGTCCTCTCGCGCCGTTCGAAACAGGACGTGTACCGCGGCTCAGTGACCGTCCTTCAGGGTGAAGGTGACGAAGACGGGGAAGTGGTCTGAGGGATGGTCCTCGTTCGGGATGACCTGCATTCCGTCGCAGTCGCAGGGCTTACGAGGCCTTTAGCGCTCCCTGGGGACCGTTTCTTCGCACTTCTTTTCTTCGTTGCACCGCCCTCGACTCGCAGGCTTGGAGCGCCGACGTCCGAGCTTCGCGTCTCTCCTCGAATGCCCTGGGCTTGGTCGTGGGCGTGTTCTCTGCTCCCGGCCCGCCAGCTGCAGGAGGAAGGACAGAAGGCTCGGATTCGGATCAGTTCCGATCTCGTCAGAGTCGTCCTAAGAAGCCCTGGCACACCAAGTAGACTTCCACACTTTCACTCCTCGAGGCCTTCGGTTTGGCGGTCCTCACCTGCGCAGCTGCACAGGCTCTTGTGCCACCGCAAGCTTTGAGCTTCCCTTGCCGCCTTCGCAAAGTGCTCCAGAATCTCCGCTTTGAAGTTTTCCAGGGCCCCTCCTTGGAAGACCTTCAGAACCTCGGACTCGTCGGACTCATGGGAGAAGCGAGGCAGAGCGGAGCACTCGAGCACTCCTGGCCGAGGAGCGAGGCAGCCCTCGGCCCGCAAAAACTTCCTGGGAGGCGGAGGCGGAGGTGATGAAGGCACTGAGAGGGGGTCTTGGGTCTTGTCTTTCCTGCTCTGGCCGAGCTCCTTGCAAGGCCCAGCGCAGGGCTTTTTTGCTGAGCTCCACCGAGGCCATGTGGTCGTCGATGGCGATGCCGATCATCTTTGGGGCCAGGTCCGAGAGCACCACAGTGGCCTTTCAAGAGCCAAGAGCGAGAGCAAAGCGATCGAGAGAGCGGCAGAGGCAGAGGACATGCCGCGCCACCTGGCGCCCGGCCAAGAGCTCCTCCACCTGCCTCGCGGCCGCACCGCACACTCTT